TTTTTCCTATCTGAACAGATTTACAGTGATCAAGTCCGAGCTATTAGTAATTATCCCAAACATTTGCCAATATCTCTGTTTCGTTACTTCAGAATAAAAACAGCAAAAGGAGGTTTACAATGCCATATTGGTATTGGGAACCGATTCCATGACAACTGTGCTCAACCTGGTGTGGCATATTGGATTGAAAGCGTTAAGACTTTCGATGACCCCTTAGAAAATACATTTCTAAATTTTAATAAACAATGACGTTGCAAATAACAGTAACTGGATTTTTGTTCAAAAGACGTGATTTGATGAAAAATCTTAACAATATTGGAGAAATGTATCTCTTTCAGGAATTAATTTTGGTCATCTTCCATTCAGCCAAATCAAACATAGATCGCTCATCTCCACAACGGTTACATCTTCATGATGCAAATATGTCGCATCATATATCATATTTGTTGGCCGCCACACACAATAATCCAGGTGAGTAAGTGAGTTCAGTTTTACGCCGCTTTAAGCAATAATCCGGCAATATCACCAATATAGTAAATGACCGAGACTGTCAATATTTACTACAATGCGCAGAGTGAGTGAGTGAGTTACGTTTTACGCTGCTTTTAGCAATATTCCAGCAATATCACGGCGGGGGACACTAGAAATGGGCTTCACACATTGTACCCATGTGGGGAATCGAACCCGGGTCTTCAGCGTGACAAGAGAACGCTTTAACCACTAGGCTAACCCACAACCCCCAATAATCCAGGTCCCGATTTTTCGACTTTTTTACTCTTACTCAGATTTCCAACTGAATTTGAGAATTTGAAACAACCGAGTTATAACTAGCGTTTCTCAAAACCAAAAACAAATATAACTTAAGTAACCTATCTATCAAACTAAAATTCTCCAGTTTGAGTTTAACGTTAATTTCAGTTTAATTCGGGAAATACATTTTACTGAGTTTGTTTTCAAATTTGAGTGAATCGGATCCACCAAGACGTAATTGCAGTATACTGAAGTTAGTGAAAACTCAAATTTAAGTTTGTTTTGAAAAATAAGAGTCCTGCTATATCACGACGACTTATATAGTATAAGTCAGGGCCAGACAAACCAATAAGTGAAATACGAGTAATGTCTCGCACCGTCGGAGTAGGATGACATATTATCAACCAAGTCACATAGCTTGACCACTGATCGATGAGCCGAGAGAGTACTAGAGACCCGGTCTCACAATGAACTAAGTTGCTATAGATACTGTTCATGTGTTGTGTGGAGAAACAGTCCTATAATCTGATATTATACATCACATATCTGATAAAATTTAGTTAGTACCAGATGACAACTGGTATATTGTACAGAACCATTGCCGGGATATTTAACGGGGATGCTACGGTAATCGTTCTTTCTCTGTAAAATGCGTTATTATCTCATATATCGTTAATCTGAAGAACAATTCTTTAACTCAATCATCCATGGTCACAAGCATATAAACGAGACAAGACGAGAAGAGAACTTGTTTCATATCTCGATTTGGATACGAACGTACACTTCGCGGTTGCCAGTCTTCATTTTAGGAAACAGATGGTGAGTCTGTATCACCCACTTTCACATCCAAAGAAGAACTTAACTGTGTGTGCCCAAATTGTGAGACGTTGTGATTGTAGTGAGTGTGTGAGTGTGTGAGTGTGTGTGTGTGTGCGTATGTATGTGCGTGTGCGTGTGCATGCTTCTTTGTTTAACGTTATTCCCTCAAAAACTGGATTTGACCAAAAAAGCCTACTGCTGTTTAAAGACATTAAGTGGTAAGTAGTAAGACAGACCCGTCATACGGTGCTGTTCCCTGGGGTGCCACCCCTCTTCTCCAGAGACGTCTCGTTAATCGACACATCAACCACAAAGATCCAGCCAAAGTAGTTATCAAACACATTTGTCCACATTTATGACAAAAGTACGAGTTTGGGGGCACCATTGATTTATCAACCTTGCGCTCACAATCTCACAGTTGCGTGAAATGACCATTAGTTCAGAGCTTATCGGTAAATACCGTCCTCCACAAGAACAACTGCACATAAGTACAAACCTAATGTTCCATCACATGCTACACTCAAGTCAAATCTCCCAGATGGACGATCGGCTTGATCGTCCCTAATGGACAGACTGGCCTGTCACAAGATCCAAAACGTGGACAAGGACTGGTGCTTCTTCATGGTGAACAACTTTTTATTTTTTTAAAGGAATTTCCAAGCTTTGTTGATGAGACGTGTATAGTCTCCTTTTACCTGGTTGTCAGTTCGGCCCCAGTCATACATGAAGAAGTTCTTCGTGGCAGCTAAGTTACTCTGTTAATCAAGACGTTGCCAAAGTAGATTTGGCTTTCTTAAGTTATTAAATCTGGGGAACGAGCCACGTCCGAGACCACAGTCCCACGTACCATACCCTATGTCCAATGCCACCACGTCCCGAGCCCTACGCCGGACGTCCCACGCTCCACGTCCTACGCCCCACGCCCCACGCCCCACGCCCCACGTCCTACGCCCCCACGGGGTATGATGACGCAGAGTCAAATAATACATAGCATTACCACCCATCCTTCACAAGATTAACCCCTTTCCACAAGCATCAGACCGCTGTGGTCCCTTGGAGTTAACCTTCAGTGAGATTTGTGAGTAAGGAATTGTATGTTCTTTATGATAAGTGACAAAACCATGTCCTCAATCAAAAGAAATGTCTTAAAAGCATAGTCCATTGTACGATTGCGACTGTATCACAATATGTGTTTAAGAACCATTTTGAAGTAAACATATGGACCACCGGTTCCATTTAGAAATCCCTTTCTTACACAAGCAACGGGTGCTGGAAAACAATTTTAAACCGAGCCGAGAGCGAGATACGGTGTGGTGAACAGCAACAATATTCATCTTGAGCTGTGCATCTCTCAAGCAGAGTAGATCGTACAAGTCCCACTATACCACTCTAAAACAGTTATCATACATTTTGTTCACAAAAAAAGATAAATACAGTTAACCTTTCTCATTGTGACCGACCGGTGGGGTAACCTAGTGGTCAAAGCGTTGGCTCGTCACGCCGAAGACCCTTGTTCGATTCCCCACATGGGTACAATGTGTGAAGCACATTTCTGGTGTCCCCAGCCGTGATGTTGCTGGAATATTGCTAAAAGCAGCGTAAAACCAAACTTAGTCAGTCAGTCAGTCCTTGTGACTGTAGTGGTTTATAACAAACGAAGTAAACCAAAATGACAAGTTCTACATCTTTAAGAGGGACTCCAGATTCGAATGTCTTGCATAAGACTAACAGGTACGCGATCTTAACATTGTAATAATTGCCACATTTACGATGGGGCATTTGGAAATCATGAAAACATTTCAGTAATGCTCTATATTAATTCTTTGCCTGCAGACACACAAACAAATGCCTTAACGCCTGATCCGATGTAGCTAGGACTACTAATTTGTTAGATCCTCCTCTCCCTTAAGTCTAGCTTCATATGCTTCATGTTATTCTGAAAATAATGATCTAGCGCTGATAGCCGAGACATGTGGGACGGACATCAAACATGGAGTCAGGGTATAAAACCGTAGCGATATCATAAAACTACTGGTCATCAATCATATTGCCATCGCCAGAGTTTCGGATATTGCTTAGTCTGATTGCATTAACATTACGCTCCGTTCTTTGAGAAAAAGAACACCGCTGATTTATGAGCTCGGGGATATTCTGGCTGCAAAAGGCAACGTCTTACATATGCTTTAATACAAGGGACGCACGCAAACTTCTAATAGAACGATTGTTCAGAGGGAACACATAAAACTACGTGGTACGTATGTAGAACTTTACAGATCCATCTTAGAACAAATGGCGACACCGTGACTGGTTTCTTTATTACGCCCGCATGACGTGATGTGGGTGTTTGTGATAAAGTTGTAAAAGGTCTTGATGGAACTTTCACTTCAAAGAGATGGCAGTTTCCTGGAAGTCTGTCCAGTTGATTTGCATGCAAATCTCAATACATAACTATAAATAATTGTATGAACAAGAATTAATAACTTGACTTACAAAATGATATTTAAGTCGTAATTTCAGAAACAACACTTTTACGTAGACTGACTGACTGACTGAGTTTAGTTTTACGCCGCTTTTTGCAATATTCCAGCAATATCACGGCGGGGGACACCAGAAATGGGCTTAACACATTGTGCCCATGTGGGGAATCGAACCCGGATCCTCGGCGTGACGAGCCAACGCTTTAACCACTAGGCTACCCCACCGGCCCCTTTTACGTAGAAGAAGCGTTGGTTGTTGAAGCTGATCATACAGAAGAGTTTTAAACAGCTCACATTATAAGTGTATTTTGTTACACAGACAATAGAATACAAACAATCCTTGAGATCATGATCTAATGCACTGATGAGGGGATAGTTTGGTGAAAACGGGTTGCATTTTTGGATAAGAAAATACGTCCTACAATTGTAGACATTGCAAATAATTCTAATTTGTGAGACAATTATTCTTGTTGAAAACATAATGCCAAATGTTTTAGTTCATTAAAGGACGGATCATTTAGTTAATGAAACGCCGCACAGCAACTTCCAAAATCATAAGCAATCACTATTCCATACCGTCTATATCACAGGCACGTGTTTATGAATAACTATCAACAAGGTACCAAATGTGCGAAAAGGTGAGTGTATCCTGCCCCACCTGTGACATATGAAATGAAAGTTAGGTGTTCACCTGTAAGCAGGATGACATGGTTGAAGTAGGGAATGGCCTCCGATATAATTTTGTCACTAAAAAATATTAGCGCCTTACAAAGGAAGTTTATGCTGAAACCAGGATCAAACAACTTTTGAGCAAGAATATCCTCAATAACTTTGTGTTTGAATGTATAAATACTACCTTGAACAACATCAATCGTTTGAAATATATCACAACTGGCACACATGTTATGATAACAGAGGGATAATAATGAACAATGTAACAATACAGACACTCACCTGGGCTATAACTTGTAAAACCGCTAGAAAGACCAACAAAAGAACATGGGCAGACGACATGACAGACGAGTATACCGTTTGGTGTTGGAAATGGTTCTACAATCCCGAAGAGCAGACGACCACGCGCTGCACGCTCTCGCGCTCTCTGACGGCCTCTCTTGCAATCACAAAGTGTCGTCTGCCTATGAAAGAGCGCAGACGACAGTGTGTGGGACAATAATTATCATCGATGTATTGGAACGTGGGAGACATGTGCGTGTGGAGTTGGGTTATTGGACTGCTAAGTTATCCGGTTATTTAGCTACTCACTGAGATTTGCATTTTGGTGTTTGGGATGGGTTTGTTTTCAGGTTGTGACGTATTAATTTGAAAACAAAGCTTTCCTACTTGAGGATTTTACTACGACTCAGCAATTAGGTGTCCATACTAGTCATTATTTTGCGTCGCAGCTAAACCATGAAAAGGCCTTCTTCCCTTAAGAATATTCCGGTAATTGTCAGGTTATAATTTCCGGAAGAGTTGTACAAAAATAGGACTGGCGGTAATCCCAACTATTCTGGAACGAAATTAAGTAAACATTAGATTGCTTGACCACTGTGTTTCCAGTTCGTATGGGTGTTATTGATCTGTTTAAGGTGTGACCACTTTCCTGATCCTACTGCTCCTTTCACTGCGATTATTGGTATTCAAAAATACATGCTACTTTAAGAAGCATTTTGTTGTCATTTATTGGTGTATTACTTATATTTGTCACACTATCCTTTTGGATTCGCCCCCTCACAAGTTCCATTTCCAAACCGAGTTCTGAGGCTACACACTAAACCTCGCTTGAGTAAGAAGGGAGGCAAAATTGAGGATGTATAATGGGGGTATAATGGGTTTGAACTAACGGGGTTAGTGAGGAAGTGAGTTGAACTGTGTTCCGGTTGTATAATGCTGTGTCAATTTGATGTTGAAACAAGCCCAAAGTGATGCAGGTCTTCCGTGTGTATGACTTCGGTGAAACTACCTGACAAGATTCGGGTTAGAATTCACCAACTCATGCTTGTCGTAAAAAGCGACTAACGGCACCGCGTGGTCAGGTTCGCTGACTTGTCATGTCATGACACATGTCATCGTATCCTAATTGCGTAGATCGATGCTCATGCTGTTGATCACTGGATTGTCTGGTCCAGACTCGATTATTTACAGACTGTCACCATATAGCTGCAATATTGAAACCCAAGAGCATGGGTCTGGTGCTGACAAACCAGGAAACATAATCGGGTCGAACTCGGATTCAAACCCATTATCGTGGTTTTTGGCGTGCCCAATGCAAACAACTCTGTACAGCGAATTCTTGCGCTTTTGACAACATAGCCAAGCTTACGGTGTCACTATGAGTGAGAAAATTCAATGTTTTGCGGCGTAGGCAGCAATAGTCAAGTTATATCAAGAAGATCTTTAAGTTACCGTGTTTGGATCAGTCCAAATATAAATAGGACCAACTACACATTTTGTCGATACATTCTCTCAGATTACGCTTTGTAACCAACTGCTTTAATCATAAAATTTGTCTGTCCGGAATGTTCCGAGGCGTGTCAGCCATAGCGGTGCTGGTGAGTTCATCAAAGTGGTGGATGGTTGTGATCTGCATCACTTCAGGATCTCCTCCCACATCCAGCTTCAAAAACCGTGATATAACTGAAATAGTCTTCAAAGGAGTGATAAGCCAATACACACCCCTTGTCTTCATGTATTCTATTCTTAACATAGATACCTTAAAGGTAAAGCTACAAAACAATTTCCATAATCATACGAATTTTCCTCTCAGGGTCCACGTACGATTCCGACTATATGATACTGTAAAAGAAGCGAGTGTCGTCGTCACGTTTAAACAAACTTGTTTGTTTCTGTAGAGATAGTTAGAGCAGACATTTATTCCATATTCTTGACTCCTTATGCTGTAAAACTTCTGAAACCGGACATATTGTCCCCATTAAAATGTCCATATTATGGAATCATCGTTATTACCTTTTATTTGTGTATACAGTTTGGATTAACGAAGTCCGTACTAACGAGGTTTTGCAATAAAATAGTTTTCGTTATATCCCACGGGGAGTTCATGCAGCTTATGTAAAGTACTTCCAGATTAACTTTGCTTCTCTCTTTTAAGTAGATTCCAGAAATGTGCTTATATTTACATATGTTTCATGCTTTTCCGGAAGATCCATATTTATTATAAATGGTTACTTTACTTTGGACATATTTGTATCACCTTTGATTGATGGCGAGACTTGTTATTTATATAAGTGCATAAGGGATTCGAGTCAACTCATCATTATCACTTCGAAGTCGACTAACACGCTGACATTAAGTCCGCTACCCTTAATAAAATATATTTATCGATAGTTGTATGTTGATCTTCTGTAACGGGATAAGTGTTTGTTCTCCCGCTGTAATTGTCAGTTCAGTCGTAGGGGAAACAGTACGTAGGAGTTCATTGTCTTCATCTGTAAGCAGCCCACGTGGTTCCGACATGCGTTTACAAGTGTACATGGATCCATTGCAACTGTGACATCAGCTACCATCAGGGACTCAGCGAACCGGGATTTGAAGGTGATGGGTTTGCTCGGACATGATCACCTCTCGGCTATTCACGAGTTGAAAGAGATATCGCGTGACTGGGTCACGTGGTAAAGGTCCAGCGGATATTGAACGAATGGCAGAAGGGATTTCAACTCTCAAGACTAAATGAAAGGATTGCCTACTTACGTCTTTGTGGATTCACGATGTTAATCTTTCCTGTTTTAACTCTCCTAGATGTTCCTCTCTTTGTGCTCGCCACAGACGCTGTAACCTTTCGTGATACTACTAACCTTTCCTTTTGTCAAATACACTTTCAACCTACTTATTGTTTCTATCACTAACACGTATCTGCCTTTGTCGCATACCCTATCACCTCTCCATCGAAATACTTAGGTCGTGTCAGTTATATTTCGTTTTACCATCAACCTGTCCTTTTATCACAGTTGTTGTGGACTCTTTTTGTAACACCAGAAATAATTACCTTCATCAAAGATGCAATCATTTCTCTATCGTAATACCGCCGACTCTTCCCTCTTTTACAGGTGCTATCTTTTGTACCACCACAAATAATTATCTTCATCAAAGATGCAATCATTTCTCTATCGCAATACCGCCGACTCTTCCCTCTGTCACAGGTGGTATCATGTCTTTATCACAGTACCGCCGACCTTTCCCAATATCGCAAACGATATCACTTTTGTATCATAGCCCTATACCACAGCCCTACCCTACTAGTTCTATCACCCCTTCATTGTAATGGCACCAGCCTGTCTATCTGTCCCTCACAGATATTAACACTTCTATATCGCAACATTGCGAACCTTTCCGCTTATCACAGGTGCTATCACCCCTCCGTCTTAATAACTCCAACCTTTTACTTCATCGCATGTGGTGTCACATCTCTATCGTAATACCACCAACCTTTTACTTCATCACATGTGCTGCCACCTCTCTATCTTAATACCACCAACCTTTTACTTCATCACATTCGGTGCCACCTCTCTATCGTAATACCACGAAACGTTTACTTCCTCACAGGTGCTATCACCTCTATATCGTAATACTACCAAACGTTTACTTCATCACAGGTGCTGTCACCTCTCTATAGTAATAGCACTAAACGTTTCCTTCACCACAGGGGCTATCACCTCTCTATCGTAATACCACCAAACGCTTTCTTCACCACAGGTGCTATCACCTCTCTATCGTAATACCACCAAACGTTTACTTCATCACATGTGGTGCCACCTCTCTATCGTAATACCTCCGACCTCTTACTTCACCACAGGTGCTATCACCTTTCTATCGTAATACCTCCGACCTCTTACTTCATCGGGGCGGTGGGGTAGCCTAGTGGTTAAAGTGTTGGCTCGTCACGCAGAAGACCCGGGTTCGAATCCCCACATGGGTACAATGTGTGAAGCCCATTTATGGTGTCCCCCGCCGTGATGTTGCTCGAATATTGCTAAAAGCGGCGTAAAACCAAAGTCAGTCAGTCAGTCTTACTTCATCACAGGTACCATCACCACTCTATCGTACTACCACCAACCTTTTACTTCATCACAGGTGCTATCACCTCTCTGTCGTAATACCACCAACCCTTTACTTCATCACATGTGGTGTCACCTCTCTATCGTAATGCAACCAACCGTTTACTTCATCACATGTGGTATCACCTCTCCATCGTAATACCACCAACCCTTTACTTCATCACATGTGGTGTCACCTCTCTATCGTAGTGCAACCAACCGTTTACTTCACCACAGGTCCTATCACCTCTCTGCCGTAATACCACCAACCCTTTACTTCATCACATGTGGTGTCACCTCTCTATCGTAATGCAACCAACCGTTTACTTCATCACATGTAGTGTCGCCTCTCAATCGTAATACCTCCCACCTTTTACTTCGTCACATGTGGTGTCATCTCTCTATCGTAATACAACCAACCTTTTACTTCATCACATGTGGTGTCATCTCTCTGTCGTAATACCACCAAACCTTTTACTTTATCACATGTGGTGCCACCGCTCCGTCGTAATACCACCAACCGTTTACTTCATCACATGTGGTGTCACCTCTCTATCGTAATACCTCCGACCTTTTACTTCATCACATGTGGTGTCATCTCTCTATCGTAATACAACCAACCTTTTACTTCATCACATGTGGTGTCATCTGTCTATCGTAATACCACCAACCTTTTACTTCATCACATGTTGTGTCACCTTTCTATCGTAATGCAACCAACCGTTTGCTTCATTTCATGTGGTATTACCTCTATATTGTAATACCTCCGACCTTTTACTTCATCACATGTGGTGTCACCTCTCTATCGTAATACAACCAACCTTTTACTTCATCACATGTGGTGTCATCTCTCTATCGTAATACCACCAACCTTTTACTTCATCACATGTGGTGTCACCTTTCTATCGTAATGCAACCAACCGTTTGCTTCATTTCATGTGGTATCACCTCTCTATCGTAATACCGCCGACCCTTTACTTCATCACATGTGGTGTCACCTCTCTATCGTAATACAACCAACCTTTTACTTCACCACATGTGGTGTCACCTCTCTATCGTAGTAACTCCGACCTCTTACTTCATCATCAGGGTTAGATTGAACCCATGCTTGTCGTAAGAGGCGACTAACGGGATCGGGTGATCAGGCTCGCTGGCTTGGTTGACACATGTCATCTGTTCCCAATTGTGCACGTCGATGCTCATGCTGTTGATCACTGGATTGTCTGGTCCAGACTCGATTATTTACAGACCGTCGCCATATAGCTGGAATATTGCTGAGTGCGGCGTAAAACTAAACTCACCTACTCTCACCTCTCTATCGTAATACAACCAACCTTTCACTTCATCAAAGGTGCCTTTACCTTTCTATCGTAATTCCACGAACATCGTATCTCATCACATGACAGGTAAAACTGTTGTTTCAAGGGACAAGATCTTCGAGGGAATTCTGATGGACAGTGGGGAACAAGGGAAATGGCGAGAAAATAACAAAAACCCGTAGTATTGACTGACAGTAAGCCAACATCTGCCTCGGCTTGTATAAGGGCTGACAGACAAAAAGCATCCACAACTCACAAAGTTAATTGGAAAAGTAAGTGTTTGGTGCAAAACAACGTTTTTAGCAAAAGCAAGGTGACGGCAGTCCATAAACAGCTAGCTGAATGTTATACTCAAGGAAGTATCATCGACTCATTCTGAACTGTTAGAAAGTTATAGGTGTTCGTACTTGTATGAAAAACAATATGTGAAATGCTCGACTTCATCATGTGTAAAAGTTGGGGCAAAATATTTAGTCAAGGCAAAAAGGCATCCCCGCGTTCCCCACCCGTACGCACCTTCTTGCCGATCTGTTTCTTAGTTTTCATGTTTTGGAAAATCTGCTCTGATTGGCAAAATCAAAACAAGGTAATTTGGCAAAGACGTCCAACTTCAATTTCAGGTATATCGATGATCTCACGGTCTTCAAGAACCCTGCAATAGATGGAAATAAAAGAGACCAGTGACACTGACTCATCTGTTTCATATTAAGATCCATGCATGGAGATGAAGATGATTCTGAGTATCAAAAACGAACTCTCCACAAACTCTCCGAGTGATGACTTCAAATTGCCAATGGTAACCTTCTCCTTTATGTGGAACTATATTCCAAAACAATGATGGCCAACGTAAGTCCGTAATATGACTCGTACCGCATGGTCTGGTGGTTTTATAAAATATTATTTCAGATGAATAGTTATGCGGTTTGCATGGCTGCCACCCTAAGAGCAAGATACGCTCATCTTTTCCCGAACACCCGGTACCAAGACTATTTGATAGCGAGTCATAAACACATGCTCATGTTGTGGTCGGAATTGTCAAACTCCATGTTTCTTGTGGCCATGGAAAGTGTATTGTCGATTTTGTATGTCGACTTCAATTTCAGGACTTGGTTTGTTCAAGCGATTGCAAATTATAAAGAAAATTAATTCTTTTCAAATCAATATGTTCTAAATTCGATCTGAGCTAGTGTACAGTTTTGTCAGCACCACATAGTTTACCATGAACATACACAGTAATGTTTACGTATGGATTATGGCTACAATGTAGGTCTCTGGTAACTGCTGCTTGTGAGGTAAGACTCGACGGCCAGGACGGTCAGTTTCGGCTACATGGTTGATTGTGTGTCATTGTTTCCTATGTGCGTGGCTCTAGAATTGGAAATTAACAGTCCACTGTCTTATGAGTGTAGTTTTGGTGAGTCTTGTGTCAAACATCAAACAACATGTGCACAATATGAGGAAATCAGTGAGTTGAGTTTTCAAAGTGATTCTCCCTCATACCACGTCGCTGTGTGGGCGAGGTAAGCTTAAAAGCGGTTCAGCGAAGCGTTAAAGATGTTTCATTAATATAGCAATGCTTGCATGTGTGGGCGTGGCTCTTTGCACCATTCCAGACTTTGGCCTGTTTAATTCCAGACTGTGGCCTGTTTTATAGTTCCCACTGTGACACCATGTCGGAGTTTAGCATGGCTATCCCCCTCAGACACATTATTCTTTCCCCAGTCTTTGTTTTATTCTCTTAATGACAGGCAGGCAAACAATAGGAACTTGTGTAGGAGGAAAACCCCAAATGATGCAGATGTATCTCGTTAACCACAACCGGTAAGGTCATGGTAGAAGTAGTAAGTTGTTGAAGATGATAATATTTGTTGCATGACTGACTGACTGACTGAGTTTGGTTTTACGCCGCTTTTAGCAGCAATATTCCAGCAACATCACGGCGGGGGACACCAGAAATGGGCTTCACACATTTGTTGCATGAGGGGATGGTATATGTTTAATATTAAGGTGATGAAATATGTATTATGAGGTGATGATATATCTGTGACATTATGGTGATGATATATGTGTTAAGTTAAGATGATGATATATGTATTCTCAGAAGGTTATGATGTATGTATAATGTTTAGGTGATAAAATGTATATAATCTGCAACACAAGAAACGCAAAGTGTTTTCAGATGTATGCCTTATGCAATTTCATCTGTGTTAGGTTACGCCGTTAAACTGCCCTCGACATGTACCAAGTCTGTTCTTCCGGAATGGGAGATGGCTGTCCACATCATTACACCTTCGCTCCCTGTCTGCAGTTTCGAGCATAACGTTCCCTACGACTTCTTCTGTGAAAACTCCGTTTGATATTTCCAATTTTTCTATTTTTGCGCTTTCTTTTTTTCCTTTTTGTTTGTGTTTGGCCGTCATGCTCCCAACTACAAGGTGGTGATGTGTGTATAATATTCAGATGGTTCACCTTTTGGGTTGCTGTTTGGTGTTTACAGAGAAAGAATGTATGTTGTTTTACGCCAAGTCAGTATAGTTCAAGCTTTATTGCACCTTGATAAGCAAGACTGCGCCAGACAACCCAGCGGTTGCCAGATGGCATGTATTCAGTTAGGTCACTCACTGAAACCACCCAATCTTCGTCAGAACCCGTGAAGAACTGGGTTGGAATCTGTCTTCAGCGACTCATGATTGCTGTAATGAGTAACTAACCGGTTGACTGGACCAGTTGGTAAAATTCTCTGACTCAGTGAGTGAGTAAGTGAGTTTGCTTGTACGCCGCTTTTAGCAATATTCCAGCAATATCACGGCGGGGGACACCAGAAACGGGCTTCACACATTATGCCCATGTGGGGAATCGAACCCGGGTCTTCGGCGTAACGAGCGAACGCTTTAACCACTAGGCTACCCCACCGCCCCTCTCTGATTCAGTATACCAATGGTATGACTATTGCAAAGATCGATGCTCATGATGTCAATCACTCTACTGTTGGTCCAGGCTCGATTATTGTCATACCAACGTCATACAACTGGGATATTGCTGAGTGTGGCGTTAAGCAACAAAATCCATGAAAGGTCCGATATGATTGAGTCAGTGGGGTAACACAACATTCATATGCCTCAGCAGAGTATCATATATTTCCTAAATATATTGTTCATTGCCAGCAACAGGACAAAATACTGGTGCAACGATGGAGAGGTGATAGTAACTGTGACAGTAGGAAGTAACGAATGAGAGATGGGAGCAGAATGTCGTATCTTTTGTCAAGATACAGATCATGCTGAGCAAGGGGAAATAATAATGGTGCGACCTTCATTAGGACCCGTGAAGAAGGTTAGAACTGGTCTTCAGCAGCTCATGCTGATGCAATTAAAGGAAACGGGTGGCAAGACACATGTCATCATATCACAACAACTCATGTATCATTGGATTGTCTGGTCCTAGCTCGATTTACTTACAGACCGCCGTCATATCTGGAATATTGCTGAGTGCAGCGTAAAACTAAACTCACTCACTACATATTTGTACAAATTTACAATGATCAAGCTGTGCTATAGTCGCCATATAGCTGGAGTGAGTGCAGCGTTAAACAACAGACAACAACTCTTCAGTGGGCTATCGAGACAAGTGGTACACTGGACCCATGATATCCGGGAATCCCTGTCTCAGACAAGAGAAAAAAACTGTGTAGGTACAGTGTCACAAACCCATACATCATTGCCCGCTTTAGTTTATATTCATGCTTTAAGTATCACCGTCATTCTCACAATGACAGCTCAACCACCATACACATTATCGATTCCCCTTTCATGTCCGAGATAATTAAACGAAGACCCTCTGTGCATGGTTGATTCAAATACTTGATACAATAGACCAATTGGTTTAGAAATGTTTGGCCATTAGGGGAATATATTACCGTACATCCATACGAAATGGATTAAATATATAATTCGATCCTACTGGAAAACCTATTCATATCCTGCAGAAATGTCCCTTTTATGCAAAGACGCAGGGATCATGCAACGTTGTCATCTCTGAATCGGCAACCATGAAAACCGATACATTGTATCCGCCCGTGGGGACCCGACAGAAACGATATCATGAAGGAAAAATATTCATATGAGCCAACAGTTTTCTCCGAACCATGATTCTCACGAAACTTCATAATTGGAATGGTATTAACTTGCATGTGATCTTTAAGTGGGCGGCAACATGGTGAACGCTAAGTGTTGCACCTGATATTCATTGCAGTGCGATGAGGCTGGTTAGGGGATTGAAAGTCGTGACCAAGACAATTCACATGTGTGCCCGCTTCAAATACACTGAACATCAAAAGAAACGCAAGTTTCGAAAAAATGAAATCTCTTAATGGTAACTGTTCATGTTTATGAAACGTTCATGGTAAAGTGACGTAATGATCCCAGGTGAGATGATGTCATGCAATTTGACGTCCATACGAAACTTTAGCACAAACACACCCACAGTGCAGCAAAACCATAATGTTAGCTCCTGCATCGACGATTCTGGATGGAAAGCATGCATGTCACCCTGAGGCATCCTTTATAAAGGTTTTTTGTCAAAACACAGTTCGGTATTGACGCTAGGAGATGTACACGCCACACAAACGATGCCTAGACTAACGACTGAGCAGAGGGGAATGGCCATTGGAAAGTTGCACGGAGGTAGCTCTGCAACCGCTGTAGCTAAACAATTGGGCTGTCAACTTACCACCATTACACGACTTGCTCAAAGTCATCAGCAAACCGGGGTTGCTGCTGATCGTGCTCGTACCGGACAGTCACGAATGACAACTCCTGCGCAAGATCGATTCATCCGGGTCACTCATGCCAGGAACCGAACTCAAGCAGCAACAGCAACCTTAGTTCATGGGTCAAGGGGAGCAGTGTCCAGCGATACGATGAAGCATCGTCTTCGGACTGCTGAAATCCACTGCCGACGGCCATATGTGGGACCAATTTTGACACGTCAACAACGCCAGCGACGTTTACAGCCCTCACACAGCAAGAGTGTCGATGAACTATCTGACTCAGAACAACATTAACGTTCTTCTATGGCCGTCTCTTTCCCCGGATATGGCTCCCATTGAAAAATTTGGGACGAAATTAGACGGAGGATTGCTGCAGGTAGACAGCCACTCACGCTGCACAGTTGGAACAGAGATTGGTGTTTGAATAGAAACACTTGCCTCGGGCATTCTTTCAGACCCTCGTGAATTCAATGAGACGATGTTGCACGGCCTGTGTGCAAGCACAAGGTGGCTATACGTGCTACTAAAGAGACTGTCACTTTTCACATTCAGGGGTATCTCAATTTGACGGACTGTGATCAATTTGAACTTATTGCAATTCAGTGTCAACATCAACTTTCAGCTGTTAATTTGACAGTGTTTTCTATAGAATAAATGATTAGAATATAATTTTGGTTGTCTTCTATTAAAAAATTTGACAAAAAGCCAGACTTGCGTTTCTTTGCTGTTCAGTATAGCATTGGCCTAAGCACTCACTAGGGGCCTCCGGGTTACAGTTCAGAAAATACATTACAACACGGAACGCCCCACTCGGACACATTACTCTGACTTCTTGTAAAATAGCTACCACATTTTTCAAATATTACCACACGTGTCCAATGACAACGTGAAACGAGACCTTGTTTTTCAGACTATGATATTAATGCAAAATCTTATCTTTGCCTGAGGCTGTGATCTATATATTTGCAGCGAGTTTATTTTGGTTCTTACTTAAACTACGTGCATCATATATCAAAGACAGTTTTAAACAAACACTGAGATAACTTAAACCTCGGAGTATAAAACTGGTGTTAGGTTATTTATTAACCGATATTTTCACACGTAGGACGAATAAATACCTGCTTTATCGGAAATAGAACACATTAAGTGTGTTTAATGCCTGGTTTTAAATAAACCTTTACAACCTTCACTACTTTAGAGGTGAGTGTTTGAAGCGACTACATTGCCACCAACATGCATAAACGTTTCAGTACAAATAATAACAATTCATTTTCCATTTTCCACTGGCAGTAAACATATAAAGTCTTCCTTTGTTGAACTAATGTGAGCTATAATTTGACATGTCTGACAAGAAATGTCATTATTGCTACAACTTCAGCTGGAACTTCAGTGAAACTGATTTCTGATACTACGTTATGGGATTGAGTTGAGTGTCACAGTCAGTAGAATCAGGAGAAAGGCCATCTCGATTTAATTAACACCAGATATGACCTTCCACGTAATCTCTTCACCACAAATCCGTTTTTAATCTTTATTTGGTTTCATCTAACATACAGTAAATAGAAGCGACAAAACCACACCAATAAGAAAGTTTTGACTATATCATGAGTATGTATTTCCTTCAGCAGTATTACAGCTGTACGGTGTTGTTTGCAAACAAATTGGGTCTGAACCAAACAAATCGCAAGTGATCCCATGACGCACCATAAAAGAACCACAATAGTCGATAAAATCCACGTTGAAGAGGAACAGGTTATAGAGATTGACAACTTCTTCATTGCAATGGATGCAACTTAACAGTATAGTGCTCAATAACGTTGTTAGCATCTACACAGAAAGGTCGCATCCATTACAACAAAGACGTTGTCAATCCATATAGCTTGTTCCTCTTCATCATACCAGCTTCTAACTGCCACTTCAAGAAGAAAGCATCACGTTGTTGAGTCTTTTCTGCCTGCATTTGTTAAAGCAACAATTGAGCATCACACATTAATAAATGTACTTACGTCCTTAAGAGCCAACAGATATCACATAATCGATAAACTACAAAAAACAACAAATTAATTTGTCCCAATCCTCTGTTCGTGGCACGGCAAGCCTTTAAACCCGGATTATCCCTAATCCTTTTTGGGTACAGTTTGATTCCCCCACGGAACCATTTCATTCACGGAAGAAGATATCTCCAATCCTAGTGAGATATTAAGAAGTCTCAAAGTCGTTTTATATCCCTGCCTTGTGTGTCAAAAAGTCGAAACATTATAAATATTGGTTGGGCTGCATGATAATGTCGTAAACCGTGAACGCAATTTAATCCGATCCAGTGTCCGGCAGATTTTGGGTTGAATTTCGCCATTGCGAATTGAATTGAGTTCTGGGGAGGTATAAATATTGGCCTGTTGTTATCAGAGGGAATAATTAAAACATTTTGGTAATATCTAAGGACGATTTAAGATATGGTTTAGAAATAAATAATCATGATAATTATTTGAATTATGTAAAGTTCGTATATATATATGGAAAGTCAGGTAATCTTACTTGACACAAGGGGTTATCTCTCGATGGGCAGCATGTCAATGTCTATTTATTTACCAATGTAACAGGACAGCAATGTATAATGGGTGTGTCTAACTTTCATCGGGTTAAGCCCATGAAGAAACGAAACCTTTTTCTCGAAATTTCGAAACATTACACTGCCACATGTCTTAAAACAATAATTCTCAAATGATATTCAGTTATACGGCATTGTTTGTGTGATTTTGAACAGATTTGTTACCTGGATACATGGAGTCGTTTAGGGGTATCAACACTTTTAGTTTGTATCAACTTTTCATGAATGCTTTCTTATACAATATGCCAGGTCAACTCGCGACCTCAATTAGTGAAGCGGTCCAGTTTTGAGATGATCCACAATCTATGGGGCTTTATTTGCCCTTGGACCTAGAATAGCATTTCTTTGTATTTGTTTGACTGATAATTTTTCAAAATGGTTGTTAATAGGGTCCACTCCCTTTATTTCCATACAGCGATCCAATTGCGGTGATCAGTTAAAGGGAGACTACTCACAAACTAATTTTCAGCCCCAACAACTTTGACTGAAGTCATTCTATATTCACTTTGTTTGTCTGTCAACACAAACTGTATTATTTTCATCAATCTGGACGGCCTCCGAGGACGAGTGCACAGAGTATATTCAAAGAAAACTGAAGTTTGGTGGTTCGATCCTTTCATAGAATATTCTATTTCATGTTTGTGCCTGGTTGTTAGACAATCGTTTTGTCTTTAAATATATTATATTTTGATGAAACCAAAAAATTGCATCAAGGGAAACAACCATCTTTCAGTATAGTATACAATGAGTGGTATATCCCGTGAATGTATCCTGCTATATTAATGCAGTAACCTAAAACGGTACACCTACTTCGCCTCACTTGACAACCTTCACTACTTTAGAGGTGCGGTCTTGAAGCAACTGCATTGAAACAAACGTCCATAAACGTTTAATTACAAATAATAAAAATAAATTTGAAATTTGGTATAGGCTGTAAATATATACAGTTTTCCCTTGGTGAACTTAAACCTGCTCCATAAATTTAAATGTAGGAAAAGAACCGTCATTATCGTTACAACTTCAGCTGGAAGTTCGGTGAAGTTGATTTCTGGAATACTCCGTTATGAGGTTATGAGTTGGGAGTGAGTTGAGTTTTAGTTTTACGCCGCACTCAGCAATTTTCCAGCTATATGGCGGCGGTCTGTAAATAATCGAGTTTGGACTAGACAATCCAGTGATCAACAACAAGAGCATTGATCTGCGCAATTGGAAACCGATGACATGTGTAGAATCAGAAACTATCAGTTTCATTAAGAGAGAAAGGCCATCTCGACGTAATTAAGAC